ATCTGTCAGCAACAGGACCCCAATGTTCCCCAGAAACCCCCCCCCCTCCCCGACCATTGACACTGGGCATTTTTTATCTCTCAATGACGTAATTGCAATTCGGCCAAGCATATTGATGTCAGAACAACAGAAAGGCTTTTTGTCAGTTGCTCAACTCTATATTGTTTACCAGCTAGGACTTTTTAACCAGCCAAAGTCCAGCAAACACAATTGGAGTAATGATTAAGTTGTCCGCAAACTAAACATATGGTTGTCATTGGAAAGGAAACCAGTACTTGTTAAAAGAAACCAGAAACACTAGGTTAAATCTGTTTCCTTTAGGGACACTTGAAAGTTGTCTGATCAGGAAGAAGCAAGTGCTTTGTAAACGAAATGGCCTATTTATTTAAGCGTAACTATAGTCACATCCCCTTGCTCCCTCAGCAGCACTGATATCTTCTTCTGCTGTTTTTCCAGGTTTGGGACCTTAGACCATCTTGATTGGCTGCGCCAGAATGATGTAACTCCCACGCATGCGCATCGGAGATTATTCATTCTGGTACCAAGGCATTATGTGCCCAAAAGTGTACATTCTAAAGCATTGTTTTATGCACTTACCTGTATTCACCTGAGAATCTCCTGATAAAGCAGTAGATCGTAACTGTCTGCGAAACACATCAGGATACTGTATTGGTCTCTTCTATGGGCAAACATAACAGCTAATATACGATTTGACATTCATGAACTGTATATACTTTTACAGTGTTTATTTGGATCATGTTATGACTGAATGATATGAATGATAGTTGTCCAAGTGTCAAACAAGACAATTTCTCAGGAAGGTGCAAACTGTGTGCCATTGGCATGAGAGTGCTATTACATATGTTTGTCTGTATGACTTACAGGGTCTTTTAAAGTTATATGTTTTAATGAAAATCTGACATGTTTTGTCTGCTTGTCTTTGTATGTACGTTCTAAAGAAGATTGCAAATAAGCAGGTATGCTTTTTTTTAATGAAGATACACTGCGCTTCAATAATTCTTAAAGCTGTATTCATTTAAAACAGTGAAAAATACATACACTATCCCAAGAAACGTGTTCACATTGTAAAACAGTGTCCACAGCCACGTGATTACAAAAATATCAGTGTATTTTCCATTGATATAACACATAATAAATCAGTGTTGCACATCCATGTCCACTTAAAACGATCCATCCAATCTTGGAAGTTTGGTGAATCTACAAATATCCAAAAACGCATTTTCCGCACTCAAAACTCATGTATCCTGAAAAAAACAAAACACCACAGGTATTCCGTGCAAACGATATGCACTGACCAAAACTTGCTGACCAAGTATAGTCATATATGACTTTTTTTAGATGATCTCCTTTTTTATTCTCCCTTGAACTCTCCAAACAATTTAAGAGGCAAAGACAGAAACTCCCATAGTATAAAAGTAACCAACAAACTTTATTCAAGCCCATAAATAAAAAGTGAGCCACTCAAAAATTCCTGTGCTCCATAAGAACATAAAATCTGGCGTCAATCTATTGGTATCTCAAACTGGCAAATCACATAAGCATTACCTTCTTTCTGGTCTGCGTAATGATGTCACAGGGACTCCGCCCACTCAGCGTATGAAATACAATAAATTTAAATATCAACAATTATTTATCAGCATTAAAGTATATTTTCATAGTTTTGTATGGATTGGTGGGGCTAGACCCCATGCCAGGTTTTATTTCTGCTGGGGACATTCACTCTGTTCATATGTCGTGATGACCATTGTCACATGGCCAGAACCTAATGAAAAATGTTACCGTTATCACCACACAGCAGAGATAAGGGGACATTGTTCAATGGAGACAGCTAGTAACAACTGTCTAAGAAGGATTCCCCTAAAAAGTAGAACAGGAAAAGTATGAGGTTGTGTTCATTGCAATATATTTATAGTACAAACAGCTAAACACACCCTGAGGGCAAGACTGGCTATTAGGGGGTCAATGCACATAATCTGGAGACTGGCAGAAGCAGAATCTTCCAGTAAAACAGAACATTGCAGTGACTGTTTAATACTGTATATAATCTATAAGCAGGGGCGTAACTAGAAATCACAGGGCCATATAGCAAAATTTTGTATGGGGCCCCGTGATTTCTAGTTATACCCCTTGCAGAGCCCACTCGAGATCCCACCTGAGGGTGACCCTGCAGAGCCCACCATAGACGAGAGTCTATGGTGGGCTCTGCAGGATCACCCTCAGGAGGTCTGGTCACACTCCTTACCTCCTCCGTCGCCGGGCCCGCCTCCTTCTTCGTCACCGAGGCCGCCTCCTCCCCTGCTGCCGAGCACGGGCCCGCCTCCTCCTCCACTGCCGGTGACGTCAGAGGCTCGCGACGTTGATCGAACACCGGGTCCAGCCTGCTCCCCACCGCTGCTGCTGGCTCTCATTGACTGTGGAGACGAACGCGCCGCTGCACAGATGATCTGAACAGCGGCGTGTTCGTCTTCAGACGCCAGTGAAAGCCAGCGGCCAGGCAGCCCGCACGGCATCTGGCCGGGCCCCACTGTGCCCCGTGCCCCGCTATGGTGATTTTTACGCCACTGTCTGTAAGCTATAAGATGAGGATTGACAGGGAGTGGGGGAAGCAGGATACATCTGTTATTTTCTGTTCCTGTTTATTTCTTTTGTTACTGCAGCACAAAAATGCTGCCAAACTTCTATCAAGGAGAAATATCAGCATGGAAGTGAACAGTGCGATTGACTTGCAATTTGAGGGAGGAGTGTGCAGTATATATAGGCAAAAAGTTGTCTAGAAGCTAAAAACATAAACCGCAGCAGAATCTCCTTGTGTAAAACCAGAAGTTGCATTGATCAGCTTTCATAAAAACGAAGAAAACCTTACAATGTGACACAGATAAGATTGCAAAATGTAAACTTGTTCACTCTGGAAATGACACGATTAAGAGGGGACATGATTGTGATATACAAACTGTTTAATATCAGTAAGAAACCTTTTTACTGTAAACTCACTAAAGAAGACAACAGGCCACCACCTGAAATTGAAGGAAAAAATGTTTAACCACAAAGGGCAAAGGAAATTCTTTCCACAACCAGTGAAATCAGCAGAGAGTAATGAATCATTCAATAACTGATAAGAATCTTTGCTCAGAGAACATAACATACATGGCTACATGTACTGTTAATGCCTGGAACACAAACTCACATGCTCACATAGGTTGAACTTGATGGTCCCCTCTCTTTATTCAACCTCAAATATTATATAACTAGCATGTAATTCAAACAGATGGTGGAGTTCTCAGGTACCCACTTGAGACATTGGTTTCTTAAAACCAAGACAACTTTATTTATAAATTTTCACAAATAAAAACCTGAGATACAAGTGACTACCATACAACAAAATTAGCTCTATTTCAACAAGCTGTTGTCTTGTCATTCCTCATCCATTTTTTCTTTTGCCATCCATGATATATAACATGTTCATACATTACATAGAACAGATCTACAGGTTCACTTGTCAAGCAGAGGTATTATTGGATGAGTTTTTGTCTCTGAGCATTTCGGGACTGAAAGTGCATCTTCAGGAGCTCAAGAGACCTTTTTATAATATAGTAATGAAGAAAAACTAAAGCCACATATGAGCAGATGTCTGTTAAAAGGGAATCCAGGGGCAAGCACAGAGACACTTTCCAAGGAAGTCCCCCACTCTAGGCCAGGTACAAAGATGTAACTGCTAGAATATAGGGATGTTATTTATAGCCAATGGTATGTCCATCACAGGTAGAGCCACCCTCTATATTACCACCATTCACATCATATAAAAGCTGTAATAGCGTAATCCATCACTAAAAAGTGCCAGTCCAACATATACAAAACCTCTTCAATTGTGGTGGAATAGGATGCTAGGGTGGGACTTACCTCCTGCTCACCTTCCTCTGATAGCAGATTCTAATATGTAAATATGTAGATATCTATAAAGTACGCTGGAACTAAAATCTGGATTGGGGAAAATATCTTCACTGATATGTCATGTGTGTACATTTGCTGCCAGCTGCATGAAAAACATACACACATGGCATATCAGAGAAGTTGCATGAAAAAACAACCACCTACATTTTAATGTGTGGCAAAATGGAACTGAATGGAGGGTCCCCTGAATGGAAGGCCCCTGAATGGAAGGACCCCTGAATGGAAGGACCCCTGAATGGAAGTCCCCTGAATGGAAGGACCCCTAAATGGAAGGACCCCTGAATGGAAGGCTCCTGAATGGAACAACCCCAGATGTGGCGGCCCAGGCTGTGGTTCTGTTCCTGCAACCACCTGCTTCTGTGATACTGATTATTAGCAAAAATTACACCTAAATTACATCTCCAGCTTAAATGTTAAACATCATTGTCATACCATTTTTATAAATAGGCAATGGAATGAATTCCAATAAAATAAAAAAAGACAAAATGCCCCTAAAACACCATACCTTTCCAGAGAACAAATTGTGTGCAGCAGTAAATTACCAGTAAGCTGTCTCTTAATAAAAACTTTTTTCTCATTTTTTAATAAAAAAAATAACAAAACTACTTTCATTAAAATTCTATGGCCTCTTTGTCTTTTTTCACGGATATTTTTTCCTAGAAGTCATTCATTTATACAACTATGCCAACCATATTTCTGCTTTAATAGCTTGTTAAAAAATATGTTTACCTTCCACCTATTTACATTTACTGCTATTTATGACATAAATCATGTCATAATACCACTCCCAATACCCTGAAATGATCTTCAGGGTCAGGGTTGAACAATTTTCTTGTAGAATACAAAGTTGGCATATTGAACTGTTTTTCACTCACATTGTACCAAACATGTTTGTGACATTACCTTTGATCGACAGCCCTGTTTTTTTCCTTTGACCAAAGTAACTTTTTTTCTTTGGGTCCAAAGGTCAGCAAGCAGGTTTTTTCGTTGTAAACAGGAGGACAGGGACAGTATAAATACTGCTCAAGGCATCCAGTGAAAAGCAGAACACACAGAGAGACATACCGATTCAAACAGGTACAGCCTTACAGCTAATTAACAGATACAATGATGGAGAATAGAATGGATGCCTTACATGATTCTGGAGTCCAGATGGTCCACTACCTACAGAGTAACTACAAGAGTTCACAGGACTTGTTCATGTTCATCTCATTTGCGGCTGATCTTCGAAATACCTTCTTCATCTTCTTCCCCATTTGGTTCCACCTTTGTGAATCAGTGGGCATCAAACTTATTTGGGTGGCTGTAATTGGTGACTGGCTTAATCTTGTGTTTAAGTGGTGAGTATCTAGCATATCTTTATCCAGCATAACTCAATCAATGAACAAGCAAGTGACAAAGTTGGCTTATTTGTAAAGAGCTTGAATTCTTTTTGTGTTATATCTGCAGTTCTTGTTTGTATTTCTATTACATTTTCTATTACATTTGTAGAAATTGGAGGTCAATGTACTTTGTATATTATAGCTAGAATATAAATGTTTGCTAGGGGCAACACCTTACCTTTTTTACTATTTAAAAAAAAAAAATATGGAAAAGTAACAATATATGCTACAAACACATTACTATTAAACTCTCAGCTCGG